GTTTACCAGAGTTAAAACAGATTCTGCCTTTTGTAAAATGAAAACAATAAAACAGACAAATTGGGCTTCCTAAAAATGTAAAGGTTCTGCTCATCAAAGACACTATTTAGAAAATGAACAGATAAGCAATAGGTTGGGGGAAAAAAAACCCTGCACCGTGCATATATCTAAAAAAGAACTCATATCTTGATTATATAAGAAACTCCTATAAGTCAACAATAAATATAATGGGCAATAAATATGAATGGACAAAGTGCTAATGTCCAATAGGCCCATTTAAAGTCTTTGATCATTGGCATACGCAAAATGAAACCACAATGAGGTACTTTCCGCACCTTAGAGAACGGCTAAAACAACAAAGACGGACAACATTGAAGGTCGGCAAGCGTGTCAAGCAGGAGCAGCTTGCACAGATCGCTAGCGGGGCTGCAGCTAGCACGACGACTTTGGAGAGCCCTTTGTGGTTTCCTATAAAGCCAATATGTGTCAGTCTCATGTCCCACAAATTCCGCTCCCAGGTATTTACCCAAGAGGAATGAAGACATACATCCACAAAGACTTGTATAAGAATGTTCACAGCAGCCCTAGTCATAGTAATCCCAAACTGGAAACAACCCAAATGACCACCAGCAGAAAAAGAGGTAAATTGTGGTAGCTTCCTTCGGTGGCATAGAAAGCAATCAAACAGGACAACGCGCCACTACCCATGACAGCACGAAGCCATCTTACAGACATTATACCGGGTGAAGGAGAAGGTTGCGGAAGAAAACATACGTACAATTCCTGTCATATGAAGTCCTAGAACAGGAAAAATGAATCTCCATTTTGACAGAAATCAGACAGTGGGTTGCCAAAGAGGAGGAAAACTCATTTTTAATGAAAAGAAAGAAACGAGAGTGAACGTTAATGGGGGGAGTGTTTGGGGGAAGGGGTGATGAAAATACTCTAACATTAGATAGTGGGAATGGGTTCAAAGCTCTGTGACTACATTAAAAACTTCTGAATTGTATACTTAAAAGGGGTGAATTTCAGGTTGATATTATATATTTAATATATAATAAATACAATTATATATGAGATTATATTTTTATCTATTATTTTATATATAGATATACCCATGATAGGAGTTCTATTAGGGGCTCTATTCTTGGTCCAGGTATTAAATCATAACATCTGGAAGTGTTTGGGGGGAAGAAATGAGGAAAAAAGTAAACATAGCCAAGAGGAAGGGACAGATGTTGAAGATAAGTTGCGGAGATCTAACATACAGATAATAGGAGTTCCTGAAGAAGAAATGCAAAGACAGAGAACAAAAACATTCTAAAAATTGTGATTCAAGATAATGTTCCTGAAATTAAAAAAAAAGAAAGATTCAAAACTACTTATTGCAAAAGTATACCATGGGACTGGTAATATGGACCCAGATGGGTCAACACCAAGACTTGTCTAGAAAAATTACTGGACTGAAGAAAAAGAAAAGAAGAAAAAAATCTTGGGCATCTAGGCTGAGACAGCAAGTAGATTTATGATGGGAAAAAAATAGATCATCAGACTTTTCAATAACAATGTTCAATATGCCATGTCAGAAGCTGACCAGAATGTCCAAATGCTTTCATTCTCTGTATCCTCGAGAATCAGGGTTCTTTTTTTTTTTTTAATTTTTTAAAGAAGTTATTTATTTGAGACAGATACAGAGAGAGAGAGAGAGCACAAGTAGGGGGAAAGGCAGAGGGAGAAGCAGACTCCCCATTGAGCCAGGAGCCCCATGTGGGGCTTGATCCCAGGACGCCAGGATCAAGACTGGAGCCAAAGGCAGACCCCTAACCATCTGAGCCACCCAGGAGCCCTGAGAATCAGAATTCTTGATGAAGACCAGGAACAAAGGAGATGCCGTGTAACCCATAGGAGGCTGAGCAAAGACAGACAGCCAGAAAGCCATCAAAACTACTAGGGTCCTGCCCAAGAGACTCGGGAGCCCAACTGAGGAAGCGTCTGGTGGCCAAAGAGGGAGATGTTTTCAACTTAGCTGAAGACAATAACATTGCAAAGGACTGAAATACATCAGATGTATTTAAATCTACAAATACTGATGGTACTAAAATATACTACAGTAAGTGTGAGGAAAACACTACAGCCAATGGGTCACCTTCAGAGGACGACAGGGAGTGCGTTCATGACCTTAAACGCTAATGAGTGAGGAGAGTGACTAAACCTTGATCCTGCTTCTCCCACACAAAATGTGCCACTGGCAGCAAAGAGTACGCAAGGAGGAGCGCCTCCGTATAGAAATATCCCGGCTAATGGGTAAGAGCATCAGAAGAGCCATGAACTCCCGCTGTGGGGATGGGTCTTGGACACAGTGAGCCTCCGTGGTTGTTAATATCACGTGGCTGCAGATGTGATGAGGCTCCCGATGGAAGAGCCCAGAGCTCTCTGTGGTCTTGCCAGAGGGATGGTAGAGCCTGGGTCTGACCAAGTCCCTGCGTCCAGAGGACAGAGGAACAAGATGAGCTACCCCGGAAATGCGAGATTGGAAGTTTCCAGATGGCAGGAAAACCAGTCCTAGGGCCCCAGGACCTTCAACAGACAAGTCATAAGGGAAAGAAGGGGATCTATTGATTGGGAAACTCAAAGGCGTATTTGGAAAAAAGAGATGGCACACAACCAGACTCCAGCGTCTAGGGATGTATGCCTGAGTGGTCAGCTACAAAGGAGTACAAGGGAGGGTCGGATCTGTGGTCACTTTTGGAGGGAGGTGGGGTGGAGGGGCTGTGATTTTGACAGAGGCACAGGGAGGGGCTCCCAGGGAGGTTGGCACAGTTCCTGACCTGGATGGTGGCTTGCCTTAAAACGATTCCTTAAGCTCTAATTTGCTCGATGAGATGTTCTCTGTGTTTTCGTTTACAATGAAGAAAAGTCAGATCCTGTCGCTCTTTGGCTGTGCACACTCAGAATGGCCAGAGGCAGGTCAAGGCCACACCACAGGGCTCTCTTCATAGCCAAGTGTCCCCTCACACACTCCTCCGCTAGCCTTTCCGAGCTGTTATCTCAGCCCAGAACGCCCTTCCCACATGCGTCTCCCCAGCTAACACCCTCCCCTCCTCCAGGCCTCTCTCAGTGTCCCCTTCCTAGGGCAGTTTCCTGGAATACTGGTCAAAAACTGCAGCCCTCCAACACTTGCTAGGAGCCTTCCCACCTTTGTTTTCCTCCGGAGCACGTTTCGTGTCTAACCTGTCATGTATATACTCAGTTGTTAGTCTTGGGTTTTGTCTGGCCCCTCTCTTGGGGAGGGCGAGGGTTTTGTCTGCTGTGTCCCCTGTGCCTGCCACAGCGCCCAGCACCCAGCGGTGCAGAGCTGTCGAATGAATGAGCCCACAGGCCAGGCAGCGTCGGTGGTGCTGGGTCCTGTCCGGCTCTGGCTGAGGGCCCTGCCCAGGTGTCTCAGCCAAGATGCAGGTGCCCAGAGAGGGCAGCTCTCCTTACAGAGACAGCCTGGTGACACTTGTCCTCATCCAGCCCAGGTGTGCCACGAGAGACACTGAGAGCCATCAAATCCAAGGATGGGAAGCCACAGGCAGCCAGCGTGAGCTGTGCTCCTGATTCCCCTCCTGAGCCCAGGGCCGGGACATAGCTGAGCCCGAAGCCTGCAGGTGTCCCAGAAATGGGCCCCGGACCAGGCTTTTATCCTGGGCAGATGGATGCACGTTTTTCTGCTCCTGCAACTGTTCCCCATTTCGACAAGGTAACCAAACTGCTGAGTATTTTCTGGTGTCCCCTAAAGCGCACCTTGACTCCCAAGGGTTCCCCACACACACGTTTGAGAGCCACGTGCTATCACAATGAGCTGACATTTCTTCCCGAGCTTTCCAAGACCTGTCACCACCAGGCCCTCTCCGGCTCCATCCCAGCTCGCCATCCGTGGCTCCCTCCTGAGCCCCATCCCCCCTGGGGACGCCCTCTCCTCTCCTCCCCGCGTGGCCAGCCCCCACTCTCTTTTCAAAGCTTGTTCTTTCCATCCAGAGTGGGTGAGGCCCTGCTCGGGGCCAGGCCCTGCCCCAGCCCTTGCAAGGCTCCCAGTCTTGGGAGGGATAGAGACAGGCCACCAGGTCCTGCTGCCAACATCACCGTGAAGATGGGCGGAAGGCAACTAGTTTTATGAATTCCCTCGCAAGAGTCCTGCCGGTAGTTATGATCATCTTCGTTGTACAGACCGGTAAGTCAAAGTACAGAGAGGCTTGTTCAAGGTCACTGGTCAGGGGCAGGTGGTGCTGGGCTCATAGAAGCCGGGTGCTGGGGCTGCAGAGCTCACGTTCTTAACCACTGCGCTCTAAGAATGCACAAAGGCATCCGTTAGGGTCTAGAAGAAGCAATGAGCTTGTCCAGGGGTCAAGGGAGGCCTGTAAGGCGCTGGCCAGCAAGGCTGGGGCTGCTTCTAGGCTGAGCATGAAGCCTACCCAGTGGTAGGAACGCCAGGCTGTGTATGCACAGGGCTGCTCTTTGCGGACTGCGGGTGCCACAGGGAGGCTGCTGGGTCGGCAGGGCCTGGCATCCCTCACTGAGAAGACTGAGTAGTTCTGTGGGGTTTTCTTATGGGTGTGACAAGGTCAGGTGCTGCTCCCTGGGAGCGTGGAGGGAGGGGTTGGAGGGCCAGAGAGGAGCAGGGCCTGGCTGTGTGTACCCGCGCCCTTCCTCTCCCTAGCTCCTGCACTCGCTCTGGAACTGGGGGCAAGGGACTCGATCTGAGTCTCAGTTTCCCGGTCTGTAGAATGGAGATAGAAGCGGCGGCTGCCTCCTGGGGTTGCTGGAGGCTGGAACAAGCTGTGGCAGGTGTACGCGCCCCACACAGCCTGGGCCTGGCAGGTGCCGGGGACACTTGTGCCTGTGTGTCACTAAGGGCCGCAGGGAGCCCTCCCTGAGAAAGGCTGTGGGGGGCTGGGCCTGCGACTTCCTTGGAACGCAGCCCACTCCCCTGTATGATGCCTCAGGGCCGCGCTACTCACCACCACCTCCAGGTCGGAGTTCAAGTGCCGCTGCGTGTCTGACATCTGCACCAGGATCTCCCCTGGAGGCAGGGAGAGCGGCCTCAGTGGGGGCAGCCCATGCCACCCACCTTCCTCCTGACAGAAGCTGCCGCAGGGGCTCCCTGAGACGGCATTTGGAGGCCGAAGTCCAAGGATTTCCCATATGGCTCTGGGAGGATGGCCATGCTTATCCCCGCACTGGAACAGCCCCTCAGGGAGTGGCGGGGAGGGGCTTGGGCTCCAGAACAAGAGTCCAGGCTCTGGGCTGGCCCTGGGCCACCAGGCCTGTGGCTTGGGGGGATTTCTGGGACGGGTAAGAACCCAAAAGGAACTCTGTCTGGGATCCCCAGCTGGCGGGCCCAGCTGGCCCCAGGCCTGAGGGACAGCACCAGGGAGATGAAGGATCTGGGCAGCAGGAGGTGGCCCCGGGCGGACACAGGGCTGGGAGGAGAGCCCCTCCAGGCCCAAGAAAGAGTGGGGGCTCTAGTGGAAGGGGGAGCACCTCACCCAGAATCTGCGAGGTAGAGCTCTGCAGGGCCTGCTCCCCGATCTTCTGGATGGCGTTGAAGTACACCTCAGCCGCCTGGGACAGAGCTGCATGGGGACAAGGGGTGCCCGTAGCCCCGGCCCCTCCTCCATCTGCCCCTGCCCTCTGGAGACCCCTCCTGGCAGGCGAGGGTGTGTGGAGGGGACAGGAGGGGGGGGTGCAGAGGCATCTGGGAGGGAGGGTGTCCTGGGTGGTGTGTGTGGATGCGGGTGTTGGCCAGGGGAGGAAGCAGGCGTGGAGTGGGGCCCAGGGCAGTGTGTGTCCATCACGGGTGGGGGCGCAGGCGTCCGTGTGTACCCACGGAAGGGTGTGGGCAGGTGTAGTGTGGTGCACAGGTGTAGGGGCGTGGGGGGCGGCAGGCTGGAGGAGCTGGGGAGGGGGAAAACAAGCTTTGACTCCAAAGTCCTGAAAGGCAGGGAGGGCTTGGGTGGCCCTCGGCTCCGGGTGTGTCCCTGGCTTATCCTTGGCACAGAGGGTTGCAAGCCCTGGCAGGGTGATTAGCCTTGGTGGAGCGGGGTTGCTGGGAGATGGGGGAGGGGTGGCTGTCAGTGTGTGGATGCGGGTACCAGGCAGAGTGAAGACACAGGGCTGCAGCGTAAAGCCAGGCTCGCTGAGGCGGGCCTGAGTGCAGCAGTGGGCTCACGGGGCACATCAGGGTGACGTACAGAGGTGTGTGCAGTTGGGGCCGTGGAGGCTGCCAGGACCAGGCACTGCATCTTTGGGAGCACCTCAGGGGCATCTGAGCAGCAGGCAGAGGCGCGTGTGGGGTGTGTATGGGTGAAGGTGCTGGGTGGGAGCGTGGAGGGACCAGGTGCACAGGGACAGCGCAGGCGGAGGGGCTGGGGGCCCGGGGCTGGACACTTACCATGGAAGGCCCTCAGGTAGTTGTTCCCGAGGTACACCAGGTTCTCCAGGGCGGGGTTAAACTGGTCCGTGATGCTCTGGAGCCCCAGGCCACCGGGAGGGATGGGGAGGATGGGGAGAGGGAGAGGGAGAAAGGTCAATGGGCAGAGGCAAGTCACCGGGCCTCAGGAGCAGGGAGCCTCCCCCACCCCAGCCCCAGAGAGGAGCCTGACCCTAGGGGCACCTGCCTAGAAGCGTGGAGTCAGCCCAGATCCTGACTGCAACAGGGGCCTCAAGGCCATTTCCCCGAATCCCTGTTCCATGCCAGCTCCTGCTCACATGCCTGCCCAGGCGGGAACCTGCTCCCAAGACCATGCATCTAGAAGGTTCTCCTCCTCCCACCAGGAGGAAACTTGTGGTCTGTGGCTGCCCCTGGCTGGGTGTGCCCCAACCCGGCACTGGGTCCAAGCCTCGCCAGGCTGGACACATGGGCATCCGACGGTCACCTCAGGGGGCAAGGACAGATCTTGCCCTCCTCAAAGAAGAGCCTGTTGGCGGCAAGGCTGTGGCAGGGTCACAGGCCACCTCAGGCTACAGCCAGTTGGAGATTACCCTCGGGGTACAGAGGGCCTGGGCGATGACTTAGACTTGGATATTTGTTCAAACCGCGGAAGCCTCTCTGGGAAGTTCAGAGACCTTGAACAGATTCTTTAACCGTGCTGGCCTTGGCCTTCTCATCTACCCTTTAGGGTGATTATCTTCTATCCTACAGGCAGGGCGCGTGAGGCTTACACGAGAAAGGGTCCTGCACACAGGAGGTGCTCAGTAAAAGTCTACAGGGACAGCGGCAACCCCTCGGGAGTGAGGTAGAAAATTTGAATGAGGGGCTCAGAAAGGAGAGAAAGACAGAGACAGGAAAAGAGAGAGAGAGAAGGACGCCCCAGTCCTAGGCCAGGTGGCTTGCTGGGCTCTCCCGTTGCTCCCCCTGCTAGTCACGCTGGGCCCCATCCTGCCTTGGTCTAGCATCTAGGCAGGCTGTCTCAGTGGGCCTTGTCGCTCACTGGGTGACTGTGGACAAGCCACGTCCGGGCTAGGTGGCTCACTGCCCCCAGGGATCCCCACCCTTGAGCCCACAACCCCGCCTGGCCTGGGCCTTCCTTTCCCGAACATGCTGCAGTTGTGCTAACCCTCTGTCCTCCAAAGCCGGTCCAATCTTCAAGCCCCAGGAAGGGGTGCTCGGACCTGGGGCCTGGGCCACACACTCACCTTGTAGATAGCCATGGTGGACCTGTAGAACTGGTCCATCTCGGGGGCCATAGAGTGGGCCGCAAGTCAGGTGCCGGGCAGGAGGCTGGAGGCGCTGGGAGGGCCGGGAATGGGGATTGGGGTAGGTCCCCTCCAGTGCTCACTGCTTTGAGGGAGCGAAGAAAGCTGCAGAGTGGGACCTGAAGACTGAGGCCCTGCCGCAGGGGGTGGCGGCTGGGGAGGAGGTGACAGCTTAATTATTCACCAGCCAGGGATGTCAGAATGCGATCTGGGGCGTAACCAGACCCGGGGGAAGGCATCCTGTGACGCAGGCAGGTTCGTGTGACCTGTCCTTCAATTATTTACCCCTCGGAACCGTGGGACGGTGGGCACGCGTGGATGCGGGCCACTGTCTCAGGTCACCTCCTCCTCCGGGTCTAGCTTCCCCTAGGCCAGCAGGGACCCCTGCCCTCCCATCTGCCCACATTGGGCATTGCCCAAATTATAGGGCCAGAGCTGCTGGGGGCCCTCCCCTGGGACCCTCCCTGACAGGTCCAGCGCTGGAGGCTGAATGTATCACTGGGCGTCATGGCTCTCTGGTCTTCTGTCTGCCCAAGCCCCTCACGCCGCACCTTGAGGGCCGGGGCTCCCCCATCGGCCGCTGCCTGCCACCTCCGCTCATGCTGGCAGCAGGAGCCCTAGAGCCACACAGACCTGGAACAAAGCTTAGCCCTGCTCGCAGGCTGTGTGACTATGCCCAAGGCCCCCTACCCTCTCTGGGTCTCATCTCCTGCTCCAGCAAATGGCGCTCGCCCTCACCTACCACCGTGGGCAAGTGGGCTTGGCGGCTGCCTCTGAACAGCTTCACTTTTGGCCTGAGCGGATTCGGGGAGGCCTGGGGAAGGAAAGTGGTGCCCCCCCTGCCACTGGGGGAGTCCCGGAAACAGAGCAGTCATCCAAGGGGGCAGAGGACCATGACAGTCAGGCTGAAGGGAGCTGGGGGGTGGGATGGGAGCACTCATGGCACGACACACATAACACAGGTGAACCGTAATGAAACCATTTATTTCCAGGGGAGACGCCCTGGAGCCCCGCCCCCTTATGCACCACTTCGGGTTGGGAGGAATGACTGAGGTTACAGGAGTGACCTTTGAGAGCCGAGCAGAGCTCCAGGGTGGGGCAGCTGGGAGGGGTGCGGGTGGCCGGGTGTGTGCTGAGGGGCAAAGTCAGATGGGGAATCCCGCTCCTGGAGCCTAGGATTCCCCTGCTGAGAAGTGGGTCACAGCCTGTTTCTCTGACCAGTGTCCCCTCCAGGGAAGAGGGCAGAGGGCGGAGGGCGGAAGGGGTCTTGATGGGGGATGGGTAAGACCCCCTTAGTGTCTAAATCAACAGGGCTCGGGGCTCAAGGGTCAGTTGTCCTTGGCTGTCAGGGAGAGGGCCCCGAGTGAGGCTCGAGGATTTCTAAGCCTAGAATGAGAACAGGTGCCAGAAGGTGGGGACAGTAGGGTCAGGCCCTCGGGACCAGCCTCAGGCAGGAAGCCCAGCGCCCTCTGAGGCCTGGTCTGGTCAGTAGACACGGAGTCACCCAGGCCCCGTTCTGCCCAGTGGCACACCGGGTGGACATCGCCTGGCCACTCCATCAGGGGCTGGGTGGCCGTGATGGCGTGGGGGTAGCTGGGAGCCCAGCCTCACGGTGAGAGCAGCAACTGAATGAGCTTCTGGAACTGTTCCCGATGCTCGTGGATATAAACCTCAGTCTCCCACAGAGCGTTGACCAGCACTGCGTCGCTGACCTCGTCCAGCATGATGTCTGTCCCCAGCTGGGGGTTCAATCTGTCTGGGTCAAGGAGGAGGGCTGACCCCTGGAGGTTTGGCTTGGGTGGGGGACAGGAGTGAGGACTGGGGCAGGCTTGTGGTGCAGAACAGCCGCGTGGGGAAAGGGGAAGTGGGCACAGAGGGCTGGGTCTGGCCAGGCTGGGGCAGGGGGCGGGGGCTGCTGCCGGCGGAGTCCTCACCTGAAGTACTGGATGTCTACCATCTCGCACCAGGCCCGGGCCCGGTCCACGGCCCGCCCATCCGGATCCGTGCACTGGCAAGAAGGGGTCTCTGTGAGCGTTCAGCGTACACCGTACCCTGAATCACTGCCCGGGGATCCCCAGGTTCTAGTCTGGCTTAGCCACCCCACCCCCAGCAGAGTCCCCCTGCCTGGGCTGCAGTGACTGTCCCAGCTGTGGAACAGAGGGGCACGGGCGGCTCAGCAGCCCCTGACTGCAGGGGGAGGAGAGCAGGGGCTGAGTGGACAGGCCTCTGTGTCCCGCCCCCTGTGGCTTGTGTCCCATGGCATATTCTGGGCTTCCACATGGGGCCGTGTTCAAAGAAAGGGCTTCATGGTTAAAAAATGCTTGAAAGCCCCGGGGGGAGGTGGTCACTAAGGGCCAACACTGAGATGGAATCGGGGACCCCCTCACCTCAGTGGGCTGAAGACCTTCAACAGAGCCTTCCTGACACCCAGGGTCCCAGGGACTGAGACCCAGAGGCCAGTGGAACTGGGGAGCGGCCCGTACTCACACAGTCCACCACCATCTTGCCCAGTTCCTTGGCCCCAAAAACAGTCTTGGCCAGTTCCCAGGGGTTGCTGGGACGGAATACATCCACACAGGTCACGGGCACCTGTGGGGACTTCCCTGTCCCCAGAGAGACCACGATGGAGAGCTTCTTCACCTTGCTGCGCTGACCCTGTTGGGGACAGGATAGGGGTAGTTGGAGGGGATCTTCCCGCCGGCAGACCCTTCCCCAGGTGGCAGGGGCAGAGCCTGTCCTGTCCCCTCCTTTGCTCCACAACAAGCTCCAACATGCTGGGCACCTCGGCAAGTACCCCCTCCTGGTGGGGCTCATCCACCATAGGAGGCCACTCAGGTGATGAAGACCCTTCCCAGTCCGAATCTTGGAGTCCCTCCTCCTCCAGGAAGCCTGCCCTGCCCTTTCTGGCCCCTAGAGGGTGCCTGCCTCTGTGACCGCTGCTCCTGCTGTGTCACCCAGGGGCTGCATCTGGGGCTCCCTGATGACCACGGTGAGAACCGCAGCCAGCAAGGCTCTGGCACCCTAGGGGTCAGGCAGCGTCCTATACATTTTACAGAAAAGCACGCGGGTACCTCATGCCAGTCCCCACGCTGGTACCATCATACCCCATACAGTGGCTGGAGTGAAACACAGGCAGAGGCAGGACCCCAACCCTGCAGCCAGAGTCCTGAGCCTACATCCCGGCGCTGCCGCTAACACGCATGGGCCTTGCCCCACCTCTGCGCTAAGCTCCTCGGGCGAGGGCTACTTCTGTTCCTCGGGATCGCCGACTCAGCACAGTCCGCCCCCGGAGGCCTCTTCCAGGGGCCCTTTTCGAGCGCCCTAGTCTCTTAGCAGAGGCAGTTCTGCTCCTGGACTCCCGCACAGCCCTCCACCACAGCACCCGAAACCCCTGGAGCGGCATTTATAGACAGTCTCCCCAGACATGAGCTCCCCAAGGGCAAGCATGTGTCCCCAGGCTCGCACAGTGGCCAGCACTGATGCTGGCATGTCCTGGTGTGCCCGCCACCCTCCCTCCTAGGTGCCCCTCACCACTCACACCAGATTGGGCCTCAGAGTCCCTCTGATTAGCTCAGAGCTCCGGGCCATCACCCATCGTGTGGGTTCAAGTGTGAGATAGAGCTGCCGTCCCACGCACCAAATGAATGGGCGTAAGAATCAAAGCCACGTGCTCTCCTAGGAGGCGATCCTTCGCAAGATTTGCTCAGAGGTCAGCTCCCACAGCCGGTCATGTCCAGCCCCCTCGCGCTGGAGGTGCTCTCACCTTGCGGATCATGTCCTGGTTGTACTCATGGATCTCGGTCATGGCATCCAGCGTGGGGTTGTTGGCCAGCAGTCCGCCGTCCAGGAAGCGCCCATTGGGCCGGAAGTAGGTGGGGGCTGCCCCACTGCTCCGGGCAGCCCGCCACACCAGCTGCTCTGGGGGGTGGGGTGAGGGAAGACGGTGGCCCAGTGGCACCAGGGGACTGGTATGAAACCCACGCGCTGTAGAGCTCCGTGTGTGTGTGGGTCTGTGAGTCTGCAGGGAGAGGGAGAGGCTGGGAACTCCTCAGAAGCACGACCCACAGTCCGTGCCCTCTAGCCCTGCTTTCCGTTGGAAGGCAGGGTACAAGGGGGGGCCTCCAGGGGACTCCTTTAGCCTGCCCGAGGCAGGAGAGCCCCCCAGTTCTGCCTGCCCTCAGCGGACAGACTCAGGGCAATGGCTGGGATGCTGGTGAGCCACGGGGACCCTGGGAGCAAACCTACGACTCCAACACTCCACCCGACCCCTTAGGCTCGTTGTTTCCCGAAGACGCATCAGACATGGTTTTAACCTGAGGGCTGAGTTGGAGGCTTGAGGTTAATATTCTGGCTGAATCGAGGCTCCCGTACAGACTCCGGAGCATCATAATTCCGAAAGAGGTGGAGTTCAGCAGGTTGCCGATCAGACAGCGTCCCTGTCAGCATCACCCTGGGCAGGAACAGGGAGAAGGACAGCTGGTCACCGACTTGGCCACCCCTGAAAATCCACGCTGGCAAGTTTCATACCGATCACCGAAGGCATCATCCTTACACCCAGCGATCCTGCCCCTGGGAGTTCATCCTAAGACAGGCTCGTGCACGCAGAACATGGGCACACGCAAAGTTATTAACAGGTCTGTTCAAGCAAACCGCTGGAAAGAGCAGATATGTCCATCAGCGGGATGTTTCAATGGCTCCTCTACCCCAAGGGGTCTGTGTCACTGCGGGATGACCGAGGAAGCACTTTATGTTCAGATGGGCGGTGAGCCCCGAGGTTTATGGTCAAGTGCAAAGAGTAAGGTTTATGACAGTGTGTGTAGTATGCCACCATTTATTTAAAAATAAAACCCACCACGCTGAGGTACTTATTTGCTTGGTCAGAAGGACCCATGAGCAGAACCTAGGAATAGTGAGGGGCCTCTGGGGCAGGGGACAGCTTGGTGGCTGCAGCCCCCAGACAGCAGTGGGAGGAGACTTTTCATCATGGTACCTTTGATTCCTCATCAGTGTTTCACAATATGAGCCTATAACCTATTAGAGAAGACTCCTTCTTA